CGGCTGTGCGGTGCTTAGCTGCCGTCTGGGGTTACACCACAACAGCCTTAGATTTAAAATCAAGGATGGTGATGTCTCCTGTTGCCTGTTACGAATAGGTACTAGTTCTTGCACCGCCTTGTGTGAGCTGAGCTCTGGAGGGCTTGTTGGGAGCAAGTGAACATTGTGTGACCTGTGCGAGGTGGCCAGGCCTGAGGTGTGCTTTTTTTAGGCTTGTGTTCAGGATCTCCCCAGGCACCTGTAAAAAGCAGCGTGTCTGTGTCTTGGGACCGGCCGCTTAACCAGCCGTTGTTCATTGCCCATGCGCAAAGCACTTGCGCTGTCACGGATTTCGAGTGGGAGAGTTGCAGTTCCAGGTCCCTCAGAAGCCGCTTGTGTCACTGTGTTGTGGTGGGTGCTCAAAGAAGGTAATAGCTGTTGCTTCTAGTGCTGGGCTTTGAAAGTAACTTCTTCAAAGCAATTCTTACGAGCCTCTTGATACCAGTCTGTATTTATCCTCTGTGCAGTATGTGGGCTGTCAGGCACACAAAGCAGAGCTTCCAGCTGCTTTGGGTCCTCTGGCTCCTGCATAAGTCCAGTGTATCAGGTACGGGAGCAGAAGGGTGAAGGAGCAGTCCATCTGCCTGTCCATCTCTCTCTCCTTCCTTTCTGGGAATGGACAGAAGGGTTACTATAAAATTGATCTAAACTGTTTTATAACAGTCATAATATGAAAGAGTAGTGTGAGATGAATTGTTAAACTCTTCCTAAGCCACAGCAAGCTGAGATGTCTGTGCTCGCTGCTTCACCTGTGTTCTGGCTGGATCTGAATCTGGTGGTAGCACAGGAACGTAGATTGTGGTGACAGTCCAGAGGCTGTTGAATTCCTGCAGCGCTTGTTCTGGGGATCATAAGCCCAGAGGAAGAAGCAGAAGCTTGGTGAGGACAGCAAGGGGAGATGATGGCTGGTTGCAGCAGCGCAGTGGTTCCAGGTAATCAGCAAGTGTCTCTGCAGCGGTCTGGAAGGTTGGGAGAAGTTACAGACCTTGGGAGATGGGAGTTAATGAAAAAAGAAATGTCAGTAGCACGAGCAACGTTAGCTTGAATCCCATGTCCTGCCTGTACAGGACGTCCTGTCCTGCCTCTAGATCAGGAGCTTAGGGCTGTGGGAGGTAGGCAGGCAGGTTCCTGCAGGATGCTCAAGGCACTTGCTCTGGCCAAGAAATGCCATATTTACCCAAGTGTTTTCCTAGTTTCTCAGGTGTGAAATGCAGCCCCATTTCTAGAGATCACTTAATTCCGAGATTATAAATCTAGGTGCCTGCTTCAGTCTCTGAAAAGCCTTGGTTTCTGGGTAGTCCTAAAATAGCCACAGAAATACCAAGAGTAGGAGCGGCGCAGGAAACGCTGCCCGTCTGCCGTTGGGCAGACAGCAGCGGCGTCGCACACCAGCACGTGTACCCGCTGCTAGCAGGAGGGTGTCCCGCGTAGCACTGCTGCCCTGGAAGAACAGCCTAACGAACAGCCTTCTCTCATTAAGCCTTTGGGTCCCCCCAGGTGGTTTTTAATGAATACAAACTGTGCACATCGTGCCTGCGATCTGTGTTACTGCTTGCCTTGGCTTTACTGCATCGGTGCTCTGGCACAGCTGCCGCCTGCACCTACGGCTTCGGAGCAGCGACTGTCTTCTCGGGTGCCAAACGAGACATATCTGGGAAGCAGGTGAAGGGAACATGTCGCAACGGTTTTAAACACTGCAAAAACATAGCTTCTGATGGCAACTGGGGGAAGTCTGGCCGGGCTCTTGACTTGAAGCGCTTAGGAATAGTGCAGGCAGGCCCAGCTGTTCATGATTTTATGTCAGGCAGGGCTAAGTGACTTTTAAAAACCTTTGGCTGCCTTTGTGCCTTGTAGTAGGAAATTGGCCCTTAACTGGAAATGAACAGCGATCTCTCCTCGTATCAGACGCTGCGGCTCTCTTGGCAGCCGCGCTGCAGTATAATCGCACGCGCTCGGTTATCTGGCCCAGCGGAGAGCTTGAGCTGGCTGTGTGCTGACGAGCCCGACCCTTGGGGAGAACCGCAAAACTGATTTGTCTCGGCAGAGTCCTGTGGGGCACCAGGACAGACCTGTTGGTCTGGCTGCATATCCCTCTGGGACAGCGGCGCTCAAGCAGGACCTGTGTGCTGGAACTTGGTGTTTCGAAGTACGTTGCTCTTCGGTAAACAGCAGGCAAAGTTTTTCTGCTTTGAAAATGTTTGACAGTGGTATTTGATGCGGAAGGAGAGCTGAGGTGATGGGATGGAGTCAGGGAAGGTGCAGCGGTCTGTGCTGGAGCTAAGGATATAGAGTAAGAAGTGCTTTTTGGATACTGGTTCTTGCCATCTGAAATTTGAAAAACCAGTCAAGGAATTGATGGTAGGGAGGAGATTGAAGGCTCTTTCTGAGCTAGAGTCCGTGTGACTCAAACCAACGTCATCATGGGTTGGCACAAAATAAAACAATTATAAGCCATCCCAGCACAGGCACCAGAAGAAGAGCAAGGGCAGAGCCCGATCCTCGTCACCGAAGCACATTCTCTTCTTGTCCAGGCTGAGGCATGCCCTTGGGAAAAGGATCAGTGGATTTGCCAAGATTTGTCTCGATGCAAATCCTTGCCCCCTGTTCCTGGCAGCCTCGTTGGTGCAGAACCTGGCATGAGGAGAGTAATTTTTTCTGAAGCCTCCAGGTGTGCTGTGTTATAAACTGCAGTTAAACAGCTGTGTTATTATCAGGTGTAGCTGGTATTCTGTGGGCTTCTGTGCATAACCGGAATACTTGAGTCCTTTGGGTCTTAGGCTGAGGACTTTCCACCCCTCAGCAGTCTTTTTAATCAAATACAAAGTTGAGGTGACTGACATCTTGTTGAATGCTCCTCTTTCTTCCGCTCCTCTGTGTGTGGAGATGCACACAGTCTGAGTTAGTCTTGAATGTGTACCGGCGCTTCTGTCCAGCCAATGCTTTTCCTACATTTTCAAGAAACGAAGGTTTTAAAACAGCTGCTTAGAGCACGTCCTCATTTACAAGTTAATTTCTAAGTTTTGTGGAGCATGAAGTGACGGAGCTTCTCATTTAATAGCAAGAAATAAAAGCTTCCTGGATGAGTAGGTGTGAGAAAGGAGCTTTCTGGTCTTCTCATCCTGTGCCCTCTAACTATGATCATTTCTCCATTTCAGGATTCTTCATACCTCGATGAGCTCTCCAACAACAACTCCCTCTTCTCGTCCCCCGCGGATTCCCTCTCTGACATTGCGGATCCTAAGGACTTCTTGACTGCCGATAGTCTGAACCACGTGCCAACACTATGGGATATAAACACACCGCAGCAGAACCAAATAGAGGTACGGGCTGCTCCTCTTCCATGCTCCCCATCAGACAATAAATAACCTCAGGCTTCATCCCGTAGTGTTTTCACCAAGGAATTAAGAAACCAACCCAATTCCCTACAGAGGTGACGTTGCAGTATGATGATGCTATTTCCCTATTACCAGCTTCACTTGGGGAGCAAAGGGGTGAAGTGATTATACATACTTTAGTCTCCTGGAAGCAGGAGGCAATCTGGACATCCTCAGAGGGATACGTGCACTCTTTCAAAGTGTGGTGCAGGCACTAGCTCGCTCTTCTGACAACTGTGGCAGGTAGGTGCATCACGAGGAAGATGTATCCCTAAAACATTCAGCAGGTCCAGAGTGGCCTGCGACAGGGTGCTCAGGAGTGCTGAGGAGATGGACTCCAGGAGAATCACTGTGACACAGATCACTAACTGTGCCCAGCAGCAGCCACCACCATTTGTTTATTCTCCATAGCAAATATTTTAGTAACAATGACTAAAAAACAAACTCTGTCTCAATTTAAGACTAACCATTTGTGTTTACTTTGCGAGTCCAAGTCCCTGCAAGCTTCTACATCTCTGAGTTTTCCTGGGCGTGTGATCTCCCGGCAGTCCCACAGCAACATGTGGTTCTGTGCGTTTTTACCAGCCTTCTGCCATCTGTTTCCCTTCATCTGTTGGGACTGATTACTCACTATTGCACAACCTGGTGTCAGTCACTACGGGTAGCCACCGGCTTTGGTTGTTGGTGGAACCGGTATCATACACATCAGCTGAATCTCTAGATCTCAGCTCTCTCAGTGAATGCCTGGGCCGTGCAGGAGGTTTCCTTTGTAGGTCATTGTCTTACAAAGATTGTGAGGGGAAAAACATTCAACGTGAATGCCCCAGAAGGCAATCTGGCATGCCCATGCTTTAGTCACTGTTGTGTTTTGAGGTTCTGTTGTGTTTTTAGAGGCTGCATTTTGCAGTTAGTAGTGTGTCTGGCTGTGTTTCTATGATGAACGCTGGCTGTTTGTCACAGCTTGGGAAGAAGAGTCTCTGCAGCAGTTCTGCTTTGAGATGCTGCTGCTTTGTGGCTGGTGAGAGGTTGGCACTGAAGGAGTGTGACTTGGTGGCAAGGGTCCCGGCCGGGGACTTGGGTAATCAGAGCTCCTGTCTGCCTTAGACTTGCTGTGAGATCTTAGGCCATTCACACGGATCCTCAAATCAGATACCTGAGCTCTTCCTGAAATCAGTGAGATTTGGTCGCCTTTTTAGACCTTCGCAGCATCTGCTTGGCCCTCAGCATGTCTGTAGTTGGACAGACAGACATACAGAGAATGCCGCTGCCCTCCTTCCCACGGATAACCGCGTTGGAGGCCAGGGGCCACGGCGCTGCGCTGGCGGCGAGGGCTGCGCGGGCAGTCCACACGCGGTGTGGTAACTTTGGACCAGTTTGAAGTCTGAGACAGTTAATAGGAAGAGAGCTGAGCTGTTTGAACCAAAGAAATGGCTGGAGACATCACAGGCTTGTAAACTGGAAGATTAAAAAAGCTAGAAAACAGATACAGCCCCCCAGACAGAAAAGGCATGTGCCTTATTCGTCCTGGTCGCCTATTATTATTGGGTTTTTTATTAGTAGCCTAAATCACTACAGAAATAGTTATGTGGTGTCCTGTTTCTAAACATGTGAACTCTGGTTGAGATACTCGATGCCTAAAAAAGCTTGTAGTTTCCTATCTGTGGAGTACACAGCAAAAAACTTACTGGGAAAAGCTGTTCTAAATCCAGTGTAAAGAATGCAAGTGAGAAACAAATATGTGTCATGTAAGTGTGAGACTAACTTGTTCGGCCATAGCGGAGCAGCCGTCTCCGGTCTTGTTGCCGTGCTGTTCTTCACGTCCTCCCCTTGTCTCTTGTTGTCCTGCAGAGCACTTAGGTTCAGATAAGGCCAATTATCTCCTTGGAATTCCATTTATAAACTACTTCCTTTTGAAAAGAATCTCTAGCTATTTTAAACGTCTTATCTGTATTTTCTGAATATAGAGGTGATTGGAGGGGGTGGTTTTTTTGTTTGGTTGGTTTTGGGCTTTTTGTTTTGTGGTTTTTTTTGGTTTTTTTGGTTTTTTTTTTCTTTACGGAGTTTGACATTTCCTGACGAGGTGTCAGTTAAGTACATCCTAGTCAGGAGACTTCAGTTTCATTTTTGCATGGGAGGTGGTAACTCACAGGACACTAGGTAGATGGATTGTCAGGTTGGCTCATGATTGGCAACTGTTTAAGTACCTGAACTTCAAACATGCTTTTTTTGTTGTTGTTGAAGGAGGGGAACAAGTGACTTGTTGCAAAATCTCAAGGCAGTGCCAAAGAAAAGGTTCCTTACTGTAACATTTAGTACATGCCAGAGAGTTTGCTGATATCCTGCACCAATATACAAGCAATTTAGATAATCTCCCCCTGTCCCTTCCCACATCATTACACTACCATCATTTTCCATAAAATTGCAGGAATTTTGGCTTTTGAGTAGCCAGAGCAGTACAAAAGGACATTAGTCCCGTTACGCCGTATGTAACCCAGGCAGATGCAGTCCTAATCCTTTTGGATACAGCAGGTCCAGTCAGTTGTAGCTGTGTAATCAGCTTTTACCCAGGAGCAACGGACTTGCACTGTGTCGTCAGGACAGTAGGTAATCTACTGAGACAGAATTTCAGTCTCAGAGATTCAGGCGGAGCGGAAACAGCAATCTTTAAACAGCTCTGGTACGTGGGACATCTCATAAGTGAAGTTGGACGCATCCTGCGTGCGAGACCCACATACAGACCCCAGGTAGAAGAACGGCCTTGGACCTTTTCCTCTTTAAAAAAGAAAAAAACCCTCTGTCTTCTGTCGCGTAGCAATTTGAAGATACGGTGTGAAAAGTCGGTATTTTAGCTTTCCCCCTTCTTTCTATCAGCTGGCACTGGCACTGGGGAAACGGGGTTACAGAAAGGGGGACAGAGCAACGTTGGAGAAAAGCATCACCGTGAGAGTGTGCAGTGCTGAACGTTTCAAGCTCACTACAAAACCCTTATCGCAAAGGCCCAGTGCTGAAGCTTTAGGTGGAGTGTTTGTGACTGACGAGGAAACGGCTGGACGCAGAGCTGCCTTCATGTTCCCGTGTGCGGAGAGCTGTTGCCTATAAAGAAAGGAGATGTATATACTGTGTTGGCTCTGTTTATCATTTCAGGAATGGGCATGGAGGGAAGAGCTACTACATTGCTAAATATTTGCAGGAGTTAGCAGACAAAACACACTTGCTTCATTTGTAATGAAGTTGTGAAATATCTTTTAAAAATAGTTCATGTAATCCATTGTGTTTTCTCACAACCGTCTCACAAGTTTACAGTGTTTTTAAGACTGGGGAAGCAAAGCCCTGCCTCTGAAGCCTGCAGCTAGAATTTTTGTGATCTGATGATGTAGTTTTTTCTAACTCATTTACAGCACTTTAAAAATGTGAACACCCTTCTCCTACCTCGATACGTAGGGAATGAACTTCTGCAGAGGGGAGTGCTTGTCAGCCACTGTTTCTTTTCCCATGGAAGTCATGGCAAGATGAGGCAAAATGGAGCATAATGCAAAGAGGAAAAAAATGGAGCGAGACCAAGTCTTTGATTGTGCATTTGTCAGTGTCTTTACTGAACGAGTCTCCTGTTTACATCCCGGTGGTCCCACGTATGCTGTGTATGCCTCTTATGTTAACGTTTTCAGGTATATAGCATAGTGGAAGGAGAAAATCAAACTGGCAGGCGAGCAGGAGTAGAGAGAGAAAGAAATTGTACAAGCTCAGTCTTGTACTGAACATCATATCTTGTACTGAAACGTCATATCAAGATGATATGTCACCCACTATAGCTCCTGGTCCCACCTGGACTGGCCCTCACAGCATATTCGCAGCTATGTGGTTAGGTTTTCGGTGCTCCAAACATCCAAGGTTTCTGTCGCTTCCGTTGCAATACCTGAGGTGAAATGCTGTGTGCCAAAGCCACGTTGCTGAATTGGGATAGCAGGGATTTATACTCTGAAGATTGCGTGATGTAAAACCAGACCTGTGTTAACTCCCCACTGCTAGAAGTCCTGCCATTCCAGCAGATCTGGGCCTTTCTCTTGCCTAAGAAGAAACTTTTATACTGAGCTCAGATTTGTAGGTGGAGATGTTTCACCTGCTCTCCAGATTTGTTGGCACTGAAAATAGCTCTTCCGTCCAGCTTCCTTCTGGTAATTCTGACTCAGGCTTCCAGTAATGGAGGGTGGTTTTTTTCTTTCTTCTTCTTTTTTTTTTTTTTTTTAATTTAAAAAAAGGAAATAATCAGAGTGTTTACGCTTAAGAACTGCCCATCTTTGACTTCTGTTGGTGAAGCATGGGTGTCTCTGTAGGCCTGACACTCTTTGCAGGCTATAAACTCGAAGCAGTGCTGCTTCTGGAGTTGCTGATTACTTTGGATGCCATGAGCTTCTGGCATGACCTTGCTCACTGTCGGGAAATTCCAGTGTGATTTTGTTTGTCTGGGGGCAGACAAAGGATCTCCTCGACTGTGCCTTCCCAGCTAGGAGTGTCTTGGGAGCTCTCCTAGCCGGCTGCGGCGAGAGGGCTGGATGATCCAAAGCCATGTTAACTCTGAGCCAGCAGCTGGTGCCTGGAGAGACCCGGCCAGCCCCTACGGCAGCCTGACCCCCGCCGTCGCTGGCCTGGTGGGCGTCTCGGTGCCGTTTGAGCCTCGTGGCTGGTCTCTGTAGTGGGAGTCCTCACCAGTGGTCCTGGTCTCTGCAGGAGTGAGGTGAGCCTGAGGGGCAGCTGGAAGCCTGCAGGCTTTGGTGGCCTCGGGCAAAGGGTGGTGGCCCTTAAGCTCGGGACAGCTGTTAATTGGTGCCGACCCATGGGTTGTGTTCTGGTGCGGTTATCTAACGACTCTGGACGGTGGTTTTAATCTTAAGGACAAAATTGCAAAATTGTAAGTAAATGCTTGCCTCAAGGGCAGTTTGTAAGAAGATGTAAAGTGTCAACGTTCTGATTTAATGCTTGGTCCTTGCCCAGCAATGGCTTTTGGTTGCAGTTTTGTTCAGTCTTTCCCATTCTTCCTGTTTGGATCTCCTCGGCTGTACTCCAGTCTCCCCTTCTAGTCCCCAAAGTGATGCTGTTTCTCTCCATTTTGAAAATCCACCCCAGAGCTCTCAGTTGGACTCACCAGTTCAGAATAAAACGTGATCCTGCAACGAGAATCTACACAGCTCCTTTTAACGAGGACCCATTTTGTAAGGAACGGCAGAGCAGTTTTGTACAGAGCTCCCTTTGAAGCAAATGGGGAAACGGCGACTAACATAACTGCTCCAGTGCAGAGCAAATCCAGTATTCCCATAATAAGCTTTGATCAGCTCCTGACAGGGACTGCTGGCTTGTAAGAGCCGTTTGAAAGTGGCGACGGTTGCACAGGTGATCTGTTAGTGCTAATGGGAGGTGTATGAAAGGTGGGCTTATGCCTGAGATCTTGTTTAAAGGCAAAACGTGGCATTTCAGGGTGACCCGTCTTAATGCTGTGTAGTTTGGTAGAAGGACTCCTGTCCCGCGGTGTGGGAGGACATGTGTCCCTGCAGGCTTTCATCACATGTGAGCACATGCAGAAAATGTTCACGCTTCTTGCAGGAATGTATTTACCTTGGTCAGTTATTCCCTGGGTGTATGTTGACAAAGGCACGTAGGCATTTGCAAGATTTATTAGTTTCCAGAATTACTGCCCAGGGCTTTCCATTCACAAGCAGAAAGTATCAAAGTCCGCTGACAACATCAGAGTGTAAGATCCCAGTACAGAGCACAAGTATCTTTACTGTTGTTGTATGTTCATACTTGTTGGCGTTGGAGGGCTGAGGCTTAAGACTGCTTTCTCACCTGCACCCTTTCTGTTCCAGCTGTTCTCACCCAGCAGATCGTTCGCTGGCTTAAACAGTTCGAATGACCATGCTCCTGCTGTCCCCAACACCCCGCTCCTCATAAGCTACCAGGTGAGAACGATGGTCGCCTTCGGGAGGATCGGACATCAGGCTCTTAACTTGGCAGCGGCGCAGTGCGGAGGGAAGCGGTTCTGACCGTTTTCCCTTCAGAGGGAGTGAGACAAGAAAATCAGCCAGATAGGAGTCACTGCCCTTTCCCAGAAGCGTCTTATGTTTCCCTTGGTGGAACCTCGCTAAGTTAAAGGATGATTGGGGCTTTCTCTACAGCTAAATCAGCACAGTCTATAGAGGCTGCTTTTCCTGGAATTACATAACTTTGCTTTATGCTGCTGACTACCATGCTGAGTTTAAAGCTGGTCTACGTCCCTTATTCCTGCCAGATTAGAGCACAGCTGGGCAGAATTCATGTTAGCCCACAACCCCTCTGAAAAGTGATGTCAACATCTTTCCCTAATTTGGTGTGGACTAGGCGTTGAAAGTAGCTTTTAAAGCACTTGCTGGGCCCCTGGGGTGGGCTCGCACAGATGGTTTTCCTTGTGTTGCTGTAGTCTATAAATGAGATGAATTGTATTTGAAGGGCTTGTGAATTTGTGTTGGGATGGTTTAAATGGTAGTTTCTGGCACTGTGTAGCACTGCGTGTGTCTATAGTTCATTGAGAACATTAACATTTGGTCAATGCTGGGTTTCTTTTCAGGCTCAAACTCCTGCAGAGGAGGAGGATGAAGGTGAGGAGGAAGAAACAGAAGAGTTGGGGCAAACAGAGACCTATGCAGAATATATACCTTCAAAGTGTGAGTGTCTTGCCATCGCACGAGTATGGGAAGTTCTGTTAACTCCATGGTGGACCAGCCTAATTACCTGCTCCCTTATTTTCCTGCGAGCAGTATATGGTGTTTGCTGTGGCACATCCCAAGCTTGTGATTTTCTAGAAAAACTGAATCCTTTGTTGGTGCTACTCTAATTTAACAGAACACTTTTCTGTTGCTTGCTTTTGGGGGAGGCATGACTTGGTTTTGTTAATCTGAAATTTCAATGGAACAGAAGAGCGAAGAGCAGGCGTCGGGCTTGTTTCTTCTGTTCCCAGCAGAAGGCTACAGGTTATTAACACGAGGTCTGCAGTCCTTTTGGAGGTGCCCTGTGGGAGTGAAGATCTTGAGTTATCTGTTTTCTGTGTTGTCATTTAGCCAAGATTGGGAAGCACCACCCTGACCTCGTTGTTGAAACGAGCACCTTATCCAGTGTCCCCCCACCTGACATCACCTACAGCCTTTCCCTGCCGTGCTCCGTTGCCGACAAAGGGTCACTCTCTGCACTACAGCTGGAAGCAATCATTTATGCCTGCCAGGTATGTGGCTCCACCTTGCCCAATTTGCATGCCCTACACTAGAAACAAGCTGCCTTTTCTATGGACAGACGTTCAAGTGTGTTTTAAAATAACCTGTCATATAGGTGATGAAACTTTGGAAGCTTTGGCATATGGCATTTTAAATGCCTTTTGAAAGGATTATTTGAAGCCAGGGACTTCTGTGGGGTCTATTTCCCGAAGAAGCAAGAACCCTTGACTTCTGTTGCAGAGAGGAGTGCTTTACATTTCTGGGTCCTGGGGGCCTTTTTCCTGAACTGCCACTTGTGAGCTTGGCCGTGACACTTGACCGTTCCTGCTGTCATTTATCTGAGCAGGAAATGCACTTGCATCAATGGGATATGTGAAAGGGTTAAGTGGTGCTCTTATAAGCTCACATGAAAGCTGTTCACAAAGACAAATCTAGTTTAACTTCCAGTTCTGTTCTTGATTTTGCAGCAACATGAAGTTTTATTACCCAATGGGCAGCGAGCTGGGTTCCTCATTGGGGACGGTGCTGGAGTTGGAAAGGGCAGGACAGTTGCGGGCATCATCTTTGAAAATTATCTTAAAGGGAGGAAAAAAGCTCTGTGGTAAGTCGTTGAGTTTTTTTTTCCTCTTTTCCCGTAAGACCTTGGAGTTAGTTTGGATCTGGGAGTAAGGAATTCCTTAGTGCTGATGTTGGCTTTATAGTTGACTCATGCTGTGGCCTTGGGTAAGTCGTTTCCACCTCTTTGTGCCTGTTGAAATGGGAATATTTCCCCTGCAGCAGTGATGGAGGATGAGTCACTATGAAATAGCAGATCATGTACTACTTGGAGTGCAATGTCAAGCCTATCCCCGCTCTCTGAAGTCGGCAGAGGGGTACTCGTGGATGTCCCGGGTGCAGACTCAAGCCCCTAGAGTACGGGGTTTTACTGCAGAATACACACAGCTTGTCCTCAGTGGCAGACCGGAGTCCGCTGTAGGATCTCGTGCGGAGCTGTGTGGGCAGTTGGAAGTGTGACAGTTTTGCACACCTACTGTTGCTTTAGTCAGAGGTATTAATCACTGTGCATGCCCTGCCTATCTCCCGAGGAGATAACCAGACCCACGTCTTGCTTTGCAGGTTCAGTGTCTCCAACGATCTCAAGTATGATGCTGAGAGAGACCTGAAGGACATCGAAGCCTCCCACATCCCTGTGCATGCTTTGAATAAGGTAGGGGAGAGAAGTTGTAATGGTCTTCTGGAAAATCAGCCTACGGTAGCAGCCAGAGGGATCTGCCTTAGCACGCAAAGCAGCAGTCACTTCTGCCTCCGCGTGGCTGGTGGCACAGGCAGTAGCAGACAGCAAGCTGCTTGCTCTTCCTTTCTCTCAGCATGCTCTTCCCACTCTGGACTCTTGCTATTTTTATACGCTCTGCGGAGCTGCGTGGTGAGCGCAGAGCTGTTTCCTGCGAGAAGTGAGAAGTGTCTCCGGGCAAGTGCAAAGTACAGCAGGACTTGAACCCTTCTTGCCGTTCCTGAAGAGTCCTGCAGAGGGAACAGCTCCTGTTAGATGTGGCCGTGCTCTGCTCTCCTGGGCTAACATTTCCCAGCGCTGGTTTCATGGAACCTCTTTCCAGAGCGTGTGAGCAAGGGAGCACATATAAACACACAGATTGGTGCCTGGCAGCAGCCTGCAGACGCACGGTGCCATGGCTGAGCACGTGGGCATTTCCCCCCAGCTGAGTGAATCAGAGAATTTTCAGACTTTCTTCCAGTTATTCAGTGATGAGGATGAAGTATTTCTCAAAAGAAACGACCGGCGGTTGTGTAGTGGTTATTCACAGGGCTTTGTAGCCTCTTGTCCAGTGCATCAGGCTTGTGTTTGTCACACCACTGGCCAGTTCACTGAAACACTTTTCTTCTCTGTTTTTTAATGGTATTGAACAACCAGCTCTTACGAAGTCAATGGAAACGCATGTATTTCACACCTCTGAATACACGCCGTTAAGAGACCGAAGGCTTTAAACGGAACTTTCATCAGATTGGAACCATGGGGTTTTTCCCTTACCTTTTATTTTGTTACAGGTGGGACCCATGACAGTAAGATAGGCGACAATCTCACCTGGTCAAAGAGAAAATTATTTTCTAGAAGTAATTAAAACAGATGGGTTCAAAACATTTAAACACAAAACTGTTGCTTAAACAAATGAAGCGACTACACTTGGCCAGAAAAATTGAAGTCCTAGCGTGGTCTCCACATTTCACTGCATGCATCCAGATGTGCTGACACATTGGCTAGTGGAACTTATCCAGACATTTAAAGTCCCTGTCATCACCGTGTCTCAGTGCCAAATAGAAGTGCTAAAGACGTCAGCTACCAACAGTCTTTTGTCTGTTCTGCTCTCAGATGGGGTTTTGTTCTTGGAGGCAGGAGCATGTGTCCTGCACAGTCACAGCACAATCGGCGGCATTGACTGTGGGCAAAGGATGGGCGCGACGTACTGGGGACAAGCGTCACGAGTGTGTGTGCTCTTGTTCTTCCTGTTTCTGCAGATTAAATATGGTGACACAGCTACCTCAGAAGGAGTCCTCTTTGCCACTTACTCTGCGCTGATTGGTGAAAGCCAGGCAGGCGGTCAGCACAGGACACGCTTAAAACAAATTTTGGACTGGTGCAGGGAAAACTTTGACGGAGTTGTATCCTTTAAAAGAAAAAAATGGAGAGAGGGAGAAGAATTGCGTGCTTGTGATTTTACTTCATCAAGGAACAAAGAGCTTGGGGCCACCTGAAGTCACTGGGAGCAGCTGTGCCAAGCAGCCTGGTGCCTGTGGCAGATATTGAAAAGCTGTAAGCACATACATCCCCCTACGCTCCTCTCTCCTCCTCCGCAGGCTGCAGTGTTAATGGGAGGAGAGGAAGAACAGCAGGGATTAACCTTTTCAGCATTCTTCTTCCTCAGCAATACAAAACAAGACACACCTTGGAAGTGAAGACAGAGGGAGGGGGAAATTACTTCAGGCTCTGAGGAGCAGAGGACTAGGCACAACCGACAGATTTCGTGCAGTGTGGGGAATGAGTCAATCCTGTTGATACTGGAACTGGCTGTTCAGTTGGTTGGAGGAGGCTGGGTTGTATTTTCTGTCTGCTCCCATCCACGTGATGAAAATAGATTCTTTCTCCTTAACTGACGTTCCCCTCCAGATTGTGTTTGACGAATGCCACAAAGCCAAAAATGCCAGCTCTACTAAAATGGGCAAAGCAGTGCTGGACCTTCAGAACAAACTGCCTCGAGCAAGGGTTGTTTATGCCAGTGCCACAGGTAAGCTTCTTGCAGCATTGTGTGAACGCCATGCGTAAACAGTCGCCAGTCATCTCTGTGGTCTGAAGGATCCCTTGAGATGTGAGCCCATATGCTAAGAGTACACGTTCATGCAGGAAGAGATGAATGGTGCTGCAGTGCTAGAGGGGAGCCCAGGGTGCTAAGATCTGCCCCGAGACCCATCACTGCCCATTACTCGTGACTTTTTGGGAAGTCAGACGGATTTCTCTCCAGTTTAACTTGTTCCTGGCCAGCTGTTCAGCTGTATGATGATGCTTGCCCACTTAGTGTATGGAGGGCGATGTTTGGAAAGGTCCTCGGATCTCCTGAGGCATGATGGTAAATGACCGTCCTCTTAAGATCACTGTACTCCACTGTACTCGAGTCAAAACTATTCACAACTTCGTGGTTTTGCTAACAGTGAATTCTGTTCAAACAGGTGCCTCTGAGCCAAAAAACATGATTTACATGAGCCGCCTGGGGATTTGGGGAGAGGGCACCCCTTTCAGAGCGTTTGATGAGTTCCTGCATGCAATTGAAAAGAGGCAAGTCGTGTCCAGCATCCCTTTTCATGTGGCTTGCGTTTTATGGCAGCCTTTGTGTGGGAAACGGGTGCAGTGCCTGAGCACAGCTTGAGCCAGGAGAGGCGGTGGTTCTGCAGAGGCACCTACTCGCTGCAGCAGAGGCAGGGGTTTCACAGCTGTCTTCCTCTCCCAGGGGAGTTGGTGCAATGGAGATCGTGGCAATGGACATGAAGGTCAGTGGAATGTACATTGCCAGGCAGCTCAGTTTCACTGGAGTGACCTTCAGAATCGAGGAGATCCCGCTGGATCAGCAGTACAAGATTGTCTACGACAAGGCAGCGAAGCTGGTGAGCTGGTCCCACTGCGGTGGGGAGACTGACGTTTAATTGCGCTTGGGGCACAGCCGCTTGTTATGTGGGAGGGCTTGAGGACCCTAAGCGTGGCCATGGCCACAGACTTTGTTTATGAGACAGACACGTGTACCCCTGGTACACATCCTCAGCTTACGTAAAAAATTATATTCTGTTTTTTTGCTCCTATTTAAAAATTCCTTATTTGCAAACCAGAGCTTGCAGCATCATGCTAGCGCAGAAAGGAGAGAATGACCGGACTCTTCATTCAGCCTAACACAGCGACATAAATACTGATGTTAAATCAGATTATCAAACCCCAGACTGTTCTAATAACCTCCTGCACAGCGGTAATGAAAAATAAAACTCAAATATTAACACAGCCTTTCTCGGTATTGTCTGCAGTGGGCAGAGGCCTTGATGGTGTTCCAGCAGGCAGCCGACTGGATCGGCTTGGAGTCTCGGAAATCCTTGTGGGGTCAGTTCTGGTCAGCTCACCAGCGCTTCTTCAAGTATCTCTGCATTGCTGCTAAAGTCCGGCGACTCGTTGAGCTTGCCAAGGAAGAGCTGGCGAAGGATAAGGTGTGGTATCAGAGCCTCGCTGCAGTGGCAGCAGCCATCAGTCTTACAAGTGATTTTTTTTTTTTTTTTTTTTTTTTGTAGTCTGCAGCCAAAGGGAGTTAATTATTGTTCGAATTGACTTGAAAGCAATTGCAAACCTCTTTAAGGATGAATTTCTCTCCAGATTACCCAGAATGAAATGCAGTGTCCAGGTTTCTGAGAACACTCGTGGTAAATTATACTGGGGACTTAACATGGTCTCGTCTTCTGAGGCGTTACCCACAGCTCATTTATGGTAGATGTGGGCAAGCTGATCGGAAACAGTATTTTGAGTCATGTTTAAGCTAGAAGAGGTACCAGGTCCTTCATCTTGAGCACAGCCCTGTCCCTTCATCCATCTGGATGCAGTTTGGAAATTTGAGGCAGAAACTGCCTAGCAAAGTCAATTAGCTCCCATAATCAGAGTCATCCTCTCTGTGGTGTGAGCAGATGTATGGTTTTGGACGCTGAAAGGTGTGAGATAGTTCTTGATCAGGAGCTCTGCTACAGGCCCAGCGTGTATTTGGGACAGGGTGCAAGGGAAGCGTACCTGGGACTGTGAAATACAGTCTTCTTGAGCCTGTAGCTGTTTGGCCTGACGCTGGCTGCGGTACACCCTCCCTGACGCCTTGCTGTGCCCTCCCTTGTGTTTCCCCGCAGTGTATCGTCATTGGCCTGCAGTCCACCGGGGAGGCTCGCACCAGAGAAGTCCTGGATGAGAACGACGGGCATCTAAATTGTTTTGTCTCTGCTGCAGAGTGAGTTGAAAACCCCTGTTTTTCTGCTGGGGGGACGCATGGGAGGCGGGAGGCATCCTAGGGCCCTGCCCTTGGGCCACTTAGCACTTGCAGTTCTTGAAATGCAGTTTCGTAACGCCTCGCCCTATGCACGCTGTAAGTAGAGGGCACTTAGCTGGGTCCTTGAGGCACTACTTCTTCAGCGTGACTTTACGAGCTGGATCCCAGATTTTGAAATTTCCTGTGGTCCAAACTTGCATGAACAGCCTGATCCAATTCTCTACACGCTGAAAGGAATTGGCAGGTGTAGGGGGGCAGAAATGTGAGCTCAGATGTGGTTTGTGTGGGTCTGACTCTGGAAAATGGGGCTGTTGACAAACAAGAAATGAGCAAGAGAATCTCACGTAGTGCCAGAGGCTGGGATGACAATGTGAGGTGGCATCGCTGGAGCAGTGAGGAGGAGTGGTCCAAGGAGTTTAGATGTGCCAGTGTTGGCTTTTAGCACGCGTACGAGGCAGAATGTGTTGTTCGATTGCCAGGCTTCTACAGCGTCCTGGTTGTGTTGCCTTTGTTCCTAGCTAAAGGGCGAGTTGGTTGTGCCTGAAGTGAAGCCGGCAGCAGGACTCCTGCTACCTTTTCAGCAAAGAACGAGGCTTATGCTCCCGTACATTTCTGCAGCTTTCAAAATACCAGCCTGCCCCCTGAATGCAGCTGTTCGTGCACGATGGGTGATGAAAACCTGGGACACTGGGTTGAGTTGCGTTTCCTCTGTTCTGCAGGCGACTGGGCTGTTACTGTTTTCTTTTGAAGTGACTTTTAATGCAGGTGAAAGCAATACGAGGTGCCGGAGACAGTACGTGTCCAGTTCGGGCAAAGCTTTCCTCCCTTACTGATGGAGGGGTTGTGTTGGTCTGTGTCACTGCTGTCTCCAGTCTGTTCCTGAAAAACAAATACCGGTGTGGTGACAGTGCGCCCGGCCAGTCTGACAACTGCTTGGATTGATTTGGTCTCTTGGATTGGTTTTCATGTCACACGGTGCAGAGGAACTCAGGCTCTAGAGGACTGCGTGGTCCCTTTGAGCCTTGCTCAGCTGTCGAAGGAGGAAGGGTCTGTTAGTGATCATGCACACTGCTCAACTCTGTCGCCAGTTCTAGAGGGAAGAGCTCTTTGCTCAGCTGCACTGGCCGGATAATTGAGTGTCTCCTGGCATCTGCTGGGCCTCCAACTACGGCGTCCTGGTTTTATGAGCACTTCAGGGGATTTCTTGAAGGGAGTGTGCTGGGAAGAAGCAGTTGTTTAAAAGCTGATGAGAAACAGGGTTAAAAATAACCGGATTGTTCAGTGAGCCCAACCCTTTGTTCGCAGGGAAGATGGGGAGTGCAAGTGTCAGGAAAATGAGCAAGGTTTCATGGCAGAGAGGCTCCAGACCTGAGAGTGAGTTTTTGCATTTTGAGCCCAGAGTCACCCCAGCACACAGGACAAAATGGCTCTTTCTGGTGCCGTGTAATTGCAAATCACCTAGTAGCCAGCACAGGGCTCTGCCCCTTCAGGGAGCAGTGCTGTCTCTGCCTCCTTCAGCCCCTCACTCCAAGGGTCTTAGAGCTCCCTCCCTGGTTCCCGAGACTCCCTTTGCCTCACACGGGCGAGTTCTCATGTCCATACCTCTCAGCTGTCGCTTTCAACGTTTGGTTTTTTTTGACCAGAGCTCATTCAGCACTGCCTTCTCATTGCACCGGGGGTTCATCCCCACCCCACATGATCAGCATTTATCCTTTCTTTGCAGAACAGCCCACAGAAACACTGGTTTTCCGCCTCTTACGATTTTTTCCATTCACCTGAAACCACAACGTATGTGTGTTTGGTCACTTTTCTCTGTTCTGTGGGCAGGTGGGCCCATGCCCAGTTCATCAGAGGACTTGGTGGAGCACCTTGGTTGGACATCCTGACGGTGGTCTCTGCTGTCAGAACACGGAGAGGGGCTGGGACACTGGCACTTACTGGGTTTTTCAGTAGTGACGTAACAGCTTCCCAGTATGGTGTTTCCCATTTAAAACTCCCTCTTAGTCGCTATATAAAGGTCTTGCAACTTCGGCATGCCACGTGGCAGTGCAGAGGCCAGGGTCTGCTCGGCTTTCGTTGCAGTGTGTCCCTGGAATGGCCCTGCTCCCTCCGCCCGCAGGGCTGCCGTGGCAGAGAGTGTTTTTCCTGGCACTATAGAGCTTTGCCTGCCCTCAGCGCGCCCGTTTCACGGCTGAGGATCTGCTGGCGCAGCCCACGCTCCCATGGCAGAGCCCTTTGGTGAAACACACTCAGAGCTGCTGCTGTTGCGGAGAGCCACGCCGTACCAGTGGCTGGCTGGTCACGCGCTAGTAGTTGTGGTGCAGGATTTACCCCTCTTTCATGAAATGTGGTGCTATCTCAAATGCACATTGTGACATGATAACCGGCAGATGTTCCTATTCCTGGTAGCTAGAATAAATTTTGCATCTTACTTTCAGAGGCGTCTTTCTATCACTAATTCAGAAGCACTTTCCTTCAACCAAAAGAAAGAGAGAAAAAGGAACTGGCATTAAAAGAAAACGTAAGAGCACACTCCACTGCCCAGCATCTGACCTCCTGCCTTGCTGCTTCACCCTAGCCACTCAGCTTTTTCTTTTCCTTTTTGCTTTTTCCCTACTTCATGCTTTTTGCTACTCTGCCCTGGTTTCAGTTTGCCCTCCCGCACATCTCCCATCACTCTCTCATCTGGAGGACGGCAGCTCTAGGTCATTCACCCTTTCCTCCCTCTAACCCACTTCCCTGTCACAGCGTAGGTCCTCGCCTCCACCGCTTGCCCAGTAGCTATGCCCCTTTCCCTCAGCCGCTTCCTTGCCTAGGCTGGTGGGCAGATTGCACAAGAGTGCCGGCTGCATGTCCGAAGCCCTCTTGCAGCAAGGGGGGTTGCTCCACTACCCTCATGTACAGCGCGGCAGGTGTGCTGGGAGGGGGGAATCACTTCCCTGCCAAATTCTTGGTTGTGGCTGCAGGTAAGAATAGTTTTGGGATTCCTCCTCCAGTGGGATGTGGGAAAGGGGGAAGAGGGGACAGCAGCACTGGCAGATTGTGGAGGTTATCCTGACCGGTTGCTGTTGCAGAGCAACCTGGGCAAGCTGGTTCGTGAACCCTCTCACGTAGTAGGAGCATGTCTTACTGTGCTTGGTAGTAAACAACACCCCGAAACACTGGCACCTTCCCGTGTCCTGCACATTCCTCTGGAGGCAGTCAACCTGTGGACTCCTTCCCCTGAGGAGTTAGCACTGCTTAGAGCCGGCTGTGTGTTCATCCTGACGTGTGCAACTAGCTTCAGCCCTGATAAAGATTGCCTTGTTCTTCCTTTCTCTCTCTTCCTTTCTCTTTCTTTCTCTCCGTCCCCCTCTCTCCCGCCCTTCCTAACTGCCCCCCACCCAAGAGGCTCTGTCTTTCTGAGAGCAACCTTTCATTTGGGGCAATCTCAGCTATTTTGTGATTTTCTCCTCCTCCTTTTTCTGAGCTGGCACTTGCTGTTCGGCATTGATGCTCGAGGCTGGGGGCTCTCCCTTGACGCCGCTCGCTCTCCCTTGCAGGGAAGCAGAGGGGCCGCTGCGCCAAGGCTCTGAAGGGCATGTGTGACCCTGTGGGTGTGATCAAGATCAGCGATGACAGCAGCACCGACTCTGACATGGGGCTCGACAGTGACTTCAACTCCTCCCCAGAGTCTGTGTTGGAGACGGATGACGTCATCTTCGTTGAGCACACCTACAATGGCTTCGCAGCTGAGGACAGAAGTAAGCAGAGCAGCAGCACGGGCTTAGCTCCTTCCTCGCTGCGGGGAGCTGGGAACCGGAGTCCCTTCTAGTGACGGGCACCAGTGCGCAGGAGCCCGCCCCAGTGCCCTGCAAGCATGGACAGCGGCAGATCAGACGTGACCCTTTTGGGGGGCGGGTCTGGGTTAAGGGGTTGGCAGAGTCAGTGAGCTGATGCGAGGAGACTCTCTTGGTGTCTCCTTGGAACGGTGAAGCTCCTTCTGTGCTTGGGACAGCCTTATGATCTTGGCTGGCTTTAATCCTGTGGTGGTCAAACCCGGGCTGGTGAGGTTGATTCACATTAATCTGCTGTGATCAGTGAGCAGGAAGAATGTGTCCTACGTGCTTTTTTTCAAAACAGGGGGAAGCACAGAGGGAATTCACTCCAAGCTCAGCAGCATTTATTGCAAGTCAAGGTGTCTTTGCCTGCTCATCAGATAGTGCTCCAGAAGCCCTTTGGGACAACTTTTTTTCCCCTCTCTGATTTGCAGTTACCAGATAGCTCTAAACTTTTGCATTTTATGTTCCAGGTAATTTTCACATGCTGCCTTCCCAGAAAGAGATGCATGGCCTGAGAGAGCTAGAACACGTGGAAAAGATGAAGCAGGACCTCCTAGCAAAAGTAAAAGCACTGGGCAAAGAGCTACCTCTCAATACCTTGGATGAACTGATCAATCACTTTGGGGGCCCGGAGCATGTGGCTGAGGTACTTCTCACAATCAAGAGTGTATTTTGGTGACACTGGGAGACAAGAAAAGGGGCCAGCAGAGAGGGTTCCTGCTGGAAGATGGTTTCCTCTCCTTCCTTGCAATCTGAAAAAACTGTTGAGAACTGACTTTCTAAATTGACTTGCTGCGCCATGCAGGTCTCTCCCCTCTGCTAACAGCCTCTCTCTCCCCTGTGCGTGCGTGCAGATGACGGGGCGGAAGGGTCGGGTAGTTTGCAGACCGGACGGCTCCGTCATGTTCGAGTCTCGTGCAGAGCAAGGCCTCTCTATAGACCACGTCAACCTGAAGGAGAAGGAGCGTTTTATGAAAGGGGAAAAGGTGAGTCAGGTTCGAGCCAAGGAAACCTCCAAACACCTGCATGGGAGCGAGCACACTGAGATGGGAAGGAGAGGGAGGGTGCCTTTGCCTGCTTGTGCCTTGCCAGCCTCAGGCCAACGAGGCTCTGCAGCTTTGTCTGTCTGTCTGACCTGCTGGAAGGTTACAAGGAGTCCTGGGTCCCTTCATGGGCTGGGGAGTTGTGCTTTGGGCTGCTTCTTGAAGCATTTTGCAGATGTCCAGGAATCTCACTCCTCTTTCTCTCTCCTTGTCTCTCTCCCTTAGCTTGTAGCAATAATCTCCGAGGCCTCCAGCTCAGGTATCTCTCTCCAAGCAGACAGACGGGTGAAAAATCAGAAGCGCCGGGTCCACATGACGCTGGAGTTGCCCTGGAGCGCAGACCGGGCCATACAGCAGTTTGGTGAGGACTGAGTGTTCTCTGTCACTGTCTCCTTCCCCTGAGCGTGGTTCAGACCATGAAGCCTCGGGCAACCCTGGGAAGGAAAGGCGCGCGTGGCCGCCCGAGCCAGGCTCGTGCTGCAGCTGGCGCAGGTGTAATTTACCTTCCTGAGATACGGCACCTTGCAGAGCACAGCGCTCCCGTGTTTTGGCAGGATGGAAATGCAGACATGAAGCAGTTGTGACTTATTTATATTGCGAGGAAGGCTTGTGTTGACTTTGGGAGTGATTTGCAGTGTGGGAAGGGGGAACCCTCCCATAGATGTTAGCAGTGTGTCCTCATGAAACATGCTGGGAGTGTGTGGGGATTTCTGTTCCACCCTGGGGAGGGACAGTTCCTCAATGCATGAGCACAAAAGAAATAATGCACAGCCTAGCTCAAACTGGGGAGCCATTCCTCAGGCTTAGAGGGTCAGGGCTATAAATTCAACTCTGCTCAGGTCTAAGCAGCACCAGGGTGATGAACGTGACTGTGCCTCTGTCCTTTTCCCCTGGAGAGAGATGTCCTTTGAAAACCAGCATGACATGGGAAGTTGTTTTGGCGCTCTCACCTCTTGCTGAGCTTCCCTTCCCATACCAGACACGCTGTACCAACCTCTCCTTTCACTTCTCTTCTCATGTCCCTCCCTGTAGGTCGAACACACCGATCGAACCAGGTTTCTGCTCCAGAGTATGTCTTCCTTATCTCTGAGCTGGCAGGAGAGAGGAGGTTTGCATCCATCGTGGCAAAACGTCTGGAGAGCCTAGTAAGTGCCCTGCGGCAAAGAGGTCAACACATCAGTTCCAGTTCTCTCTGAAGAGCTTCCATTTCGGTGTTCCCACTGGCATGGCCAGTGTTACTAGTATGGGGGATTGTATCACCCCTGACGGAGGGCATTGCAGTTGTGGAAGGCAGGAGGCTTTTAGCATCTGTGAAGAAGAATGCGTAGCCAAGGCATCATGAGGAGTTTCAGGGAAGCAGAACCCAATTCCAGATGCTGGAATTCCCCCACTGTTACAGGAGTGTAAACCCATCCTGTTTCCAGGATGAAATCATTAGTGGAATAATTAATTTGTGTCTGTTTCATTTTTCTTCACTCCTGATAGATCCCCAAATACTTGGGTAAAGTCTCAATATTCCAGAGGCATGCTGCTTCCCCACAGCACGTTCTTATGCTGGCCCCTTCCGAGACGTGGCTTTGGCCATCCGTCTCTGGTGTTTTGCAACAGCTAAAAGCAAGAACTTTTTGCTTGGTCTGCCTTCCTAGGGTGCCTTAACCCACGGAGACCGACGGGCCACCGAATCCCGAGACCTCAGCAAGTACAACTTCGAGAATAAGGTAACTTGAGGCTCTTCTCAGGGTAGCTCAGCCAAGGAGGGGTCAAAGTAGTCAGCAAGTGCCTTCGGTGGGAGCCAGAGCCGGGAAGATCGTTACTGGCATCTGCAGGCAGGATCTGGCCTAGCACCCAGCACCCGCGTGTAGCCCCGCGTTCAGCGCACAGAGCTGAGCGAGCAATGGGCGCTGCGCACCTGAGCAGCTCGCTGGCGAGAGCCTTGCGCTCCCACGGGGCGCCGGGAAGGGCGCGTGGGCCTCTGCCCCCCGCTGGTGCCGGCACCCGGGCGCGGACGTGCAGGTTCCTGTGCTCTGGTTCCCGAGGGACAGAGGAGGCCCCTGACGCACGGCTTCCCCCCGGGACGGCCACCAGGTCAGTGGCCTTCCTGGAGGCCATGGCTTTCTCTGCAGTGCCGGCAGAAGTGTTGTGACACGCTCAGTGCGCCGCTGGGCGGCCAGTGCGGGTTTGTCCCGCGCGTGACTCTTGTCTCCTTTCACAGTACGGGGCTAAAGCACTAGACAGAGTTCTCTCCACTATCCTCAACCACACGGAGAACAGAGTTCCTGTGCCCAAGAGCTATGACAGAGGGGAGGCTGCGTTTTTTCATGGTAAGAACATTATCAGCTCTGGGGTTTCTGCTGCATCTTGCTGGCCAGGTTGGTCTCAGGTTTGGGATGCCTGAAAAACGGAGCAGAAGCTCAGCGAGAGGGAACAGTACCGCTGGCTTAGCAGCTCACTAGTGAGTGGGGCGATTGGCCACCCAGATGCATGTCACCCTGCCGAGTGTGGGGAGAAAAGAGTCTGGGAGAGACTTAGCTGCAAAATATTGGGCACAGCTGGAGGGGAAGCAGCCCTGCAGGACTGCTGAGGGAAGGTTTAACCCTAAAACACACAGGCTGTCTTCTGCCATTCCAGAAATGAAGCAAGGTCTCATCTCTGTGGGCATCTGCTGCAATCAGATGAAGTATGGCACTGTCTCGGTGGAGAAGGGTATGTGTCAAGCTTTTCCTGCCCAAAGTAGGGGAGAAATGAAGGAGGCAGGGGCGTCGTGGCCCACCCAGTCCGACTGCATGGGAGCACAGCCTGGGGGGTTTGCTGTGCAGTTGGGGCGGGATGTTTGCTTTGAGAGGAGGGTCCTGAGGGGATTAGCTGGCGCTGCAGATCCCATTTCCCGGCAGCAGCCTAGCAGCTGACCACAGCCTGGAGGAACAGCCCTTGGGCTGCTCTCTCGTGCGTTAGTGCTGTGCTGCCATCAGGAGGGGACGCGGGGTGGCTTGTCGGGTGGTGCTCTTTGGGAGCGTGCTGGTGGGTGCCATGCCCAGCTGTGCCACGTTCCCTGACCCACCATGCTTTTGCAGACTGCTCCATCACCAAGTTCCTGAACCGCATCCTGGGTCTGGAGGTGGACAAGCAGAACATGCTCTTCCAGTATTTTTCTGACACCTTTGACTACCTGATTGAAAAGGACAAGAAGGAGGGCAAATACGACATGGGCATCCTAGGTACAGAGCCTGAGGGTTCCCTGTTCCTCCCTCTGCCAGCCTGTGCTGTTGCCACAGCCATCTCGGGCACTGCGGTGTCCCCTCACAGCACAGATCCTGAGACTCCTGCAGGGAGAGGAGGTGGTGCAGGAAGATAGATCTTACAACTGGCATGTGTTTTGGTCTTTCCTCCTGCTATAGATTTAGCCCCGGGAGTGGATGAGATCTATGAGGAGAGCAAAGAGGTCTTCCTGACCCCTGGGCACCCGCAGGATGGGCAGGTCGTGTTTTATAAGGTAGGCAGCCTGCACAGCTATTGCTGCAGTCCAGTCTCCTCCAGTGCTTCCCAGTCTGGGGCTGTGAGCTTGTGTTCCTTCCCCTGCCCTGTGGCTTTGTGTCATTTTTGTGTCACATCTGTCTTGGTCATGAGCAGGTGACTGATGCTGGGAGTTACACAGAGCAGGCAAGGAGAGGCCCTGCCGTACCCGTGAGGGCAGTCTGGCAGTGCCTCTTTCTAGGCTGCAGCAGCACCAAGCTTGTGTTGAGGGTGGGATTTGTGAGGCAGACACTGATGCACTTGTCCTGCCCCCACCAAAGCTTCAGAATCCCTCTGTTTGTCCCCATTTAGATCAGTGTCGACAGAGGCTTAAAGTGGGAGGAAGCCTATGAGAAGTCACTCAAACTGACAGGATCCTTCGATGGGTTCTACCTCTCCTACAAGGTAGGTCCCTGGGCTCTGCCAGGGTGGCACCTCAGCTTGGAGGATGACTCCAGCAGGAGAAGGTCTGCCATGGCTGCCTGGGGGCTGGGAGATGCCTCCAAGAACCTCCATCCTGGAAGGAAGGGGGTTAGTTTAGAGAAGTATGAGCTTGGGGAGAGAGGCTGTGACTGTAACCATCAGCTCCACCCCAACAGATGCGAGGCTGCAAACACACCTGTCTGCTGGCAGAGCAGAGCCGCGGGAAGAATTTCATCCTCTACAAGCCAAATATTGGGAAGCAAAGCCAGCCTGAGAGCCTGGACAGTCTGCAGAAGAAGTACCGGCGGGTAGGTGGGAGCTGCGGCCCTCCAGTGTGGGGAGAGAGAAAAGCCTCTTTCTCTGGGCAGGGGTGTCTTTGGAAGGCCGTTTGCTGTAACCCCTTGACGGCTCCTTGTAGCCCTGTTGTGGGTTCGGCAGAGAGAGTGGTATCACCCAGGTGTCCTGACTCCCAGCCTGGATTTCAAGCCTCAGCTGCATGTTGGGCAGTGGAAAATCTGTAATGCTGTGTGTTTCTTCTGCAGGTGCTGCCTGAGGAAGCCAAGAAGCACTGGGAGAATAGCTACAACTTCTCCTTGAAGAACTGTAACCATGCTGTCTGGTAAGGCATCTGCAGCCCCAACCTGTCCTGCCCTCCCCAGAGCAGAGCTGGTGTCGGGGAGGTCGGGGAGAGGTTCCCTGGCTGTGGTGGTGGGGAAGGACCACGCCGGGGAGGCTGGGGGTGAGGGCTCCTGCTCTGCTGTGGGAGCCTGTGCTGATTCGGGTGGTTTTCTCCTGCTTGGACTGAAGGAACAGGAGCTGCAAGCTGATCCAGGAGGGGAAGGAGTGCTTCCAGGGCATGCGCCTGCGTCACTACTACATGCTGTGTGGGGCCCTGCTGCGGGTCTGGAGCAAGATCGCCAGTATCATGGCAGACATCACCAACACCAGCTACCTGCAGATCGTCCGCCTCAAGACCAAGGAGAAGAAGAAGCAAGTTGGTGGGTGAAATGGTGGGAAGGGGATGGGGAGCAGGACATTTTAGGAGAAGGAAGAAGGGGTCCAGCTGCCCAACGCCAAGATTCCTTTCCTAAAAAGGGACGTGTTCTGGGCTGGAAGCATCCCACTGCTTTAGATGACCCCTTTAGATGGGAAGGAGGGGAGCTGGGGCCACGCTGATGTGTGCATGGGCACCACCAGGCAGAGGGTGTGAGCCAGACCTGAGCTGTCCCCTCCATCTGCTATGAACCTGCCGTGGAGCAGCTTTTGCTTTGGTTGCAGTGCTGTCTGCCTGCTCTGCAGCCCGGCCGAGAGGCGAAGCAGGCTGGGAGCGTGCTTGGCAAATGGGCCCCAGTGCTGCTGCCCACCCCTCATCCCCACCATGCCTGTCCCTTCCTGAAGTGCTCTGGGGACTGATGCACATTCCTCCCCTAGGGATAAAGATCCCCGAAAGCTGTGTCCGTAAGGTGCTGGAGGAGCTGAAGCAGATGGACGAGAACGTGAAGCGAAAGCACAACCGACTCCTCCAGGCCCAAGAGCAGAGCCAGCAGTTCTCCCTGCCGCTGCACATCCTGCCACAGCCCCTGGACCTCACACACATGGGGCCCGGGGTCCCCCTGCCCAGGCACTCCCTGCGCCAGGACGAGATCCTGGACTTGACCTACAGCCCTCCCAGCAACAGCATCCCTGACGTGGTGATGAACCCAGAGCCCGGGGCATTGTGCTTCCCCTCGGAGCCCGTTCTCCAGCCACACCAGCAGCACAGATTACCCTTTGGCTTCAGCCACCCTTCTGCTTTCAAGAGCCCGGCCTCCGTCCTGGAGGGGAATGTGCCTCTGAGCTCCTCGCTGCATGAACACCTGCCTCTGCCTCACCCAGGACCCTTGCAGACACTGCAGCAGCAGCAGCAGCAGGAAGATTTTGTCCAACAGGATGGGAATATCAATTTTAGAGAGATCCTGGAGGACATGCTAAGGACGTTAAATGGGGCCCCCCAGGAGAACATGCTCCCCCAGGAGCGCCAGAGTGTGATCCAGTTCAGTGGGCCTTTCCCAGACTTCTGAAAGCCAGCTGGGCAGGCCAGGCGACGCTCGGCCGCCGTGGATCCATATCCTTTGGTGCAGAGGTGAGAGCTGGGGAGCCCTGGCTTTTCTACTGGTTTGGACTGACCCTTTTCTGGTTTTGAGGGAAGAAAAAAAAAACCTATAGTTCCTTAAAGCAAAGTTTATTTATATATAATATGCAGTCAGGCATGTATAGATTTGTATATAACATGCGCTTGGGGGGAGTTGAGTGCTGCCAAGTTCAGCTGATCTGGACTGATGGTCTCTGCTGTGTTCAAGTCCTGCTCAAAGGTCAGTGCCCACGTAGGACTGAGGAGAGATGCCCCCTCCTCTGTGCCCGTCCCCCTGTAGACTACTGAGTTTCTGAGCTGGGTCGTGCCTTCCCCAGCCCTCCAGCCCAGAGAGCTGGTCCCCCCACGAGCGGGCTGACCAAACTGTGTCTGCATCGGCTGCTGCCAGCTTTCCTCTTGGGCTGCCCCAGCCCTGCTGCGGACCTTGAGGCTGCTCCGGAGGGCTGGGTCTGAAGGCAGGGGTGAAGGGGAAGGGAATGCTGTCCCAGAGGAGTCGGGAGCCACTGAGCTCAAGTGTTGCTCTGTGCAGGGCCGAGCAGGCATAGCTGAGAGAAGCAAAACTGACTGTGCCTGCTCTGCCCTTCCTGGGAAGGGACACCGACACCTCTGGGGCTGCCCGAGCTCTGTGGGAGGGCAGGAGCTGGCTGCACCCGCACCTGGTTTGTCAGTATCGTGGCAGAGCTTGTGAGTTTGTCAGAGCTCAGCCACGCCGGGACCACGGGGGGATTCCCCGGAGCAGAAGGGCCACACGCCCCATCAGCCTGACCTGCACTTTAGCCTCGCAAGGTCACTGTGGCTGGCTCTGGCTGTGCTTTGTCCAACTTCTGGCTATCGCGTGGTGTCCTTTCAGCTGGCCGTCTCACCGGTCCTGTTCTGTAGGGCTTGTCCTTGGCTGGCCATGGACGCAGGCCCGCGTGTCTGGATCTGGGCGACCCAGCCCTGCCCGCCGCCGACCTCAGTGAGAGCTGCTCCCGGGTCCCAGAAGGGAAGAGTTCCCCGGTGAGCACCAGGGATGTGCAGTATCGCTGCTCATGCTGCAATTCAACCTCCAATACCAAAGAGCAAAGGTCTGCTTTGCAAAGCACTGCCCCAGACAACCCACTGCCCCTCGGCCGGGAGCGGCTGGGCGAGCTGCCTTCTCCCCAGGACGGAGGTAGCCTCCAGCCACCTCTGCCACCATCCCTGTTCCAGCAGCCTCTCGCCTCGGCAGGTCCCGGGGAAACTCTTTTGTTTTCTTTCTTTAATCTAAGGAGTCTGGCAGGAAGCTGCCTGCTGGCAGGAGTGCTCCAGGCCTGGCAGCTCCTCCGCAAGCCTCCCTCCTCCAGCCTCGGCAGCTCCTCCGCAAGCCTCCCCTCTGCTGTGTTTCTTTTCTCTGCCTTGAGTCATCGAGGTATTTCCTAGAAGTGGCACCGGGATGTTTTCAGGGGAAGGACAAGAGGACTTCCCTCGCAGAGGACCTGGGGAAGGAGGTCCAGCTGGGAGAGGTTCCCCGTGCCCTGACAGGTCAGTCTTGAGGGGGCTGGAGCTTTACGTGTGCCCGGTGGAGGCCGCTCCAGGCAGGGAGCCTTGACACCCCGCCCGCCCCAGGCGGTGCGCCTTCCCCCCCCGCCGTTTCCCCCAGGGCTCGGGGGGGGCCGAGTGCCCTGTTCGCTGTTGGGAAGCGCTTGGGTCGCTCTCCGCAGTGTTCCTGCTCCTGCTGAGACTGGAGCTGCCTTCCCTGACACATTAAGACCATGGACCTGCCCCACATGATGCACATGTGAGCTTGGTTTTGAGGTTGCTCTGGTCCTCGCCCTTTGTTCTGGGGGCTCGTCCTGACCCCCGGCCCTCCCCGGGGTCAGCCCTGCAGTCGGAGACGCTCGGGCTGCGTTTTACTGCATTCAAGGAAACCTCCTTACCTCAAAGTAAACACCAAAGACAGGGAGCCCCTGCGTGCCCCCGCCCCGGGGCCCTGCTGCTGCCCCGAGAGGTTTGTGCTTTTCCCGCAGCTTTGCTCATGGCAGCCACGCTCGCCTCTGGCCACGGGGCCGTCCGGGAATCGCCGCTTTCTTGGGGTGCCACAGCAGCCTTCTCCTAGTCCTGAACAGAGCAAGGCTCTCCCCTTCCCCAGACCCTCCTCTATTTAAAATATGCCCTAGTCCGCACCACTTGTGGAGAGGCCCCGGCTTCGCCGTGTCCTGGTTTCTTTGCTCGGCGCTTGCTGAATTCTCAGCGAGGAGAGAAAAGGATGCCAGGAAAACCTATTTCAGAGAGGCTTAAACTCAGGAATAGCGAGGAAGAGTTCTCCTGCTAGGCACCCTCCGCCAGCCACTTCTCCGCTGTCACCCGGAGCCTTACCTGGTGGCTTTGACGTTGATTTTAAAATATATGCAATTCCCCCTCCCTGATCTCTGGAAAGACAGAGAGCACCTTTGAGGACGCCCTGCCCTGCCCCGATCCTGTGTTTTTGTCAGGGTTAATAATATGTAACAATATCTTTTAACTAAATTATTATGCAGTTGTCCTACTGATTGTATGTATTTTTAAATGAGTCCCTTTTTTTTCTTCCCTTACACATTTTTGTTAGCACTTTTTAATCCGCTTGTTGTTTGCCTTTGTTTTTCTATGTGTATTTATAATTAATTGAGATGTATATATGTAAAGAGATTTTTTTAGAATATGTGCCTTTGACTAATAATTCCTGAATTTTCTACTTGCCTCGGAAGGATAATTTTTCATTCTGCTCAGTAAAAACGGAAAGGAAGCCACATACGAGATTTCTGTAAGTCCCAGTTCTCTGTCTGTCTGTCCGTCTGTCCAGAGGTGTAGACCTGCCCCAGGATCCCATCTGGGACTCAGATCAGGATAGGGAATCCAAGGGCCAGGGTCCTACAGGCAGCTGGGGTTTATCTCCTGTGTCACCAACACAGTGGCAGTTGAGGACTGCCTGAGCCACCCACTTCTGCCTGGGGCAAGCCGGGCAGGGGAGGAACCTCCCTGGAGCCCGCCCGGGCACTGGCCTTTGATGAGGCTGCTCCCGCCCAGCTTTGCTGGGGAAAACACAGATAAAGGAGCCGCTGTTCAGGCGCGTTGCCGGGACATCTCGCCCAGGCACTGCCGGCCCTGCTCTGTCCCCGGGGGAGGTGCGATGGGGGTGAGCCACGGGCGATCATAACGGAGGAGCAGTTTGTACCTCGCCTTGTGCAACCGCGGCTGGACAGCGCGGTGCTGCCGACAGTGTTCACGGCGAGAGCGAGGGGGGCTGTGGGGCAGCTCCCGAAAGCAGCCGGCCTACCCTGGGGCGGCCGAGCGGTCAGGCAGGCTGGAGCAGGATCCTCCCAGCATCTTCGACATGCCAGGCTGCAGGCAGGTGGGGGCACCCCAGCAAGGACCCTGGGCAGTTGGGGGCTTTGGATGTTAAAGGGAGACCCAGGACCTCCCCCAGACCCTGGGGAAAAAAGGCAAAGCAGCACTCCTGCACAGCAGGTCACCTGTAAAACACGAGATTTCCCTGCCCACGGGAGATGCTGGCACCCTGCGGGCTTGGCCAGACAAGGCTGTGCTAATGAGCTGTGGCTGAGACTTCTCGAGGAGGATGGGTGCACCTGTAGTCCTGCACGCTGCAGTCGGACACGTCTCTGGCTACGTGAGGTATTTCACTGTGTCCCAACGTGACTTGGTTTTGTTTTGCAGCACTTGCTTCTGGCTGCAGTTGCGCCACTGCTGGAGCTGTCGCCTTTGCTGCCCTGCCAGGGCCAGGAGGGGTATCGGGGCCAGGGGCGTGCTGCTCGGCACCCAGGCTTTGCCTGTAGTCCCTCAGCTTTCATCTGGGTTCGGAGAAAAACAACCCCATTGCCTCATCGGGGCAGAGGCCTGTTGGTTTAGGGTAAGGAAGGAGCACAGCTGTGGTCCCAGAGGGGACACACGCCTTCCCCCTGCTCTGGCTTCTCTGGCGTGAGTCCCCCAGGGGCAGGGGCTGACCCAGGATTTGTGTGCAGTTCCCTTGTGAGCACTAAGGAGGATTATCCCTGCTGGGCTCAGGAGTTGTGTAAGGTCTTGGTGCCCCTGCACAGCTCAGTTCTCACTGGGAGCAGGGCAGCAGATCCAGCCCTGTCCACCACTCAATTCCACACACCCAGACGCAACCGGTCATTTCTGATACGTTTATTGCAAGGGGACACCAGATCCTGCTTTATGCCCACAGAAAAGGGCTGCCCAGCAGCGGCTGCCAGCCCTGTGAAGCCGCCTTCTTCCAGCAGGTGCACGCCAGATCTTCAGGTCTGCCTCACCAGCAAGCTGGCTTGAAGACAGACCGTCATTGGGGCTGGATGAGGAGGCTCCACAGGCAGCGGGAGGGCCGGTGCTGGGGCGAAGGGACAGCACAGGGGTGAGATGAGCAGGTCCTACAGGTAGGCAGGCAGGTCCTTCTCAATCACCTGGGAGAAAGAAGGGAGCATCGTGCTATGAGACCATCATTGCCCCAGAACCATGCCTGAAGCCCCCTCCTTCCCAGCCCGGAGGGACTGCTTGGAACCACCGACCCACCCTGTGCTGGGTGCCCAGTGTCCCCAGTACTGCAGCCGACCCCCAAAGCACAGGGGTGCCTCTTCCCCACCCCAGCCAAAGGAGGAAGAGAGTTGAGACACAGCCCCAGAGCCTGCTCCGGAGCAGTGCTCAGCCACAGCACCGCCGTGTTTCTCTGCAGATGTGATCTGCAGAGAGCTGTGGGCACTGTCACACTTCCCCTTCTCCCACGGGTCAGGCAGAGCTGTAACACCGACCACGCTGGCCGCAGACTTACGTAGGGATCCTCCATAGGACTGTACCTCTTCACCACTTGGCCCTCCCGGTTAATGAGGAACTGTGGAAGTGAAGCAGCCCCCAGGTGAGTCCAGCTGTAGCAGGGGCTCTGCAGCCCTGCGAGAGCAGCGAAGCGGCGCAGGGAGCCGCTATGGCAGATCCTGCCTGCGGAGCTGCAGCCCCTGGCAGACCTGCTCCCCCCTCTGCTGGTTTCTGCCTCTCTGGGCCAGGGCTCCAGATAGGACCAGGACAGTGCAGGAGCCCCTTGGGCTGCTCCTACCCTGACATCCAGGGTCACTGCACAGAGCGGAGCCTGTGCATGAGGATCCCTCCTCCCCCCGCAAAGAGCGTGGGTTCCACCCAGGCACAGGCTGGGAGAAGGCTGCTGTGTCCTACCTTAGTGAAGTTCCATTTTATTGCACTAGGAGAGAAAAAAAAAATCAGAAGTGAGACCATGAAATAAAACGCCTTTCCGCTTGCTGCGGCCCCTGCCTGCCTGCCATGTGCCTTCCGCGGCTCCCCCCACCCACACTCACTTGCCCAGGGTGCCTCTTCCTTTGGGCTGGTCCTTCATCCACTTCCAGAGCGGGTGGGCATCGTCCCCATTGACATCGATCTTACTGAACATGTCAAACTTCACACCGTAGTTTTCAGCAAATGCCTTAATTTGAGCATTGTCCCCGGGCTCCTGAGGAAGGCAAGAAAAGGGGCACTCTGAGCGGCCCGGGGCCGCCCGGGGGGTCCTTTTTGGGCAGCCCTCGCCCTGCTCCCCCACGTACCTGTTTTCCAAACTGGTTGCAGGGAAAGCCCAGGATGCGTAAACCCCTCTCAGCATATCGGGCGTGCAAGTCAACAAGCTGAGTGTAGTTTACAG